TTCTTCTCATTTTTATATCTTTACAAGATGATTGCTTAACAATGGTATAAAACAATGTGTGTTCCACCTCAAGAAACCAGGAAAAGAGAGTAAATTATATTGAGAACAAGCCTATAGAAATGAAAAATAAAGCAGAAAACAATAAAGTTGAAAAAATCAGTAAAATGGTAAAACTGAAAATAACTATTTGAAAAAATATAACAGAATTAACAAACCTCTCAATAGACTGATCAAGAAAAAGACAAGGCAAAAATTACCAATTTGGGGAATAAACGAGAAAATTGCCGATATTGGGAATAAACGAGGAGGGCACACCACCACAATGCCTACAGACATTAGAAACTAATAAAGAATATTATACCATAGTATAAAATACAGATAAAATATAGATGAAATGGATAAACTCTCGAGGAATATAATTATTTTAATAATGAATAAATAACTTATATAACTCCATGTTTACTGAATTTATTATTAAAAATCTTCCATCCAACAAAGAACATTGTGGGCACACATGACTTCACTTATCAATTTTATCAAATATTTATGACATAAATAATATCAATTCTTTTAGAATACAGAAGAGAAGGAAATATTTTTCTGCTTTAGTTTGAATGTTCCCTCCAAAGCTCATGTTGAAATTTAACTGCCATTGTAATAGTGCTGAGATGGAACCTAGAAGAATAGATTAAGTCAGGAGGACTCTGCCCTTCTGCGTGGATTGATGCCATTATTACAGGAGTTGTTTAGTTATCTTGGGAGTGGGCTCCTGATAAAAGCCTAAAGTCAGCCTCCTTTCTCTGTCACATATGCTCACTTGCCTTCCACTTTCCATTATAGGATAACACAGCAGATTCCAGTACTTTGATATTTCACTTCCCAACATATGGATTCCCCAGTCTGTTGTTTCCTGTTATAGCACTATAAAGTGGACTGAGACAATTTCCAACTGTTTATGAAGACATCGCCCTTGTGCCAAAACAGGACGAAGCATCACAAGAAAATAAAAACTAGAAAACTAGAACCTCATGATATCAGACACAAAATTTCTTGAAAATAATTGGCAAACAAAATCATGCAATATATAAAAAGAATAATATATCATGACCCAGTGGGACTCATCCTTCAAATGCAGTATTTATTTAACATTCAACATTCAACCCTTGCAATTCCTCTTATCAAAGACTAAAATAAATAAATAAATACATGGATAAACAAATAAATATGAACTTCTCCATAGATACTGTGATCTTCTCCATAGATGCAAAAAAATTGGCAAAGTTTCATATCATTTATGATAAAACTTCAGTAAAGTAGGAACCTAAGAGAAATGAACCCATAGTTCAATAAAGTACACTATGGCTAACATCATACTCAATGATTGAAGATGTTTCCCTAAAGCTAGTAACAAGACAAAGATGCCTATGTTAGCACATATAGTCAGTGTTGCTCTCAAAGTCTTGACCAGTCCTGTAAAGAAAGAAAAAGAAACCAAAGGCATACAGATTGGAAAGAAAAACAAACCGTCTTTATTCTAGAGAGGATGAGTTACTAAAAAGCTACTAGAACTAATAAGTCAATATTCCAAAGATGAAAGATATAAGCCAAACTACTAAAAACTTATTTGTATATACTACCAATGAACCCTTAGAAATTTAAATCATAAAAAGAAACAATTTAGAATAGCATAAAGTGCATAAAATATGTGTAATAACTGTAAGTTTAAAAGTACAGAGTTTTGCTGGGATAAATTAAAAAAGCCCAAACAAATGCAGCACTACACCATCTTTATGGATCAGAAAACTCAGTAATTGTTAAGATATTGCTTGTCTCCATAGATTCAACATAACCCAATTAAAATTTCTCAACAATGGCAGGAATTGGAAAACATACTCTAAAAGTTATATCAAAAAAGTATAGTATTACTAACCACAACATCTAGGTATAATATGAATTGTAAATGCTAAAAGAGCTTTGAAAAAGAATAAAATTTGAAAATGTATGGTATCTAATTTTAAATATTATTATAAAGCTGTAATATCAAAACCATGTGGACCAGCATAAAGACAAACCATAAAAAAGTCTGATAGGTTGACTTCATAATTGAAAATTTACAGTTTGAAAAATATTGTTAATGAAATGAAAAGAAAACCTACAGCTTAAAAAGAAAATGGAGCATATATCTGACAAAAGGCATGTATTGAGAATAAGTAAGAGGGCTCTTACATTTCAACAATAAGACATACAATAGAATTTTAAAATTGCAAAGTATTTGAACAGATAGTCTTATCAGTAAAAGAATATAATTGTCAAGTAAGCATATGAAAAGACACTCACACTATCAGTTATTACAGAAACAAATTAAAATTATACTTAGGTACTATTCCTATTAGAATGCTAGTACATTTTTAAAAGCTGACAGTATTAAGTGTTAACAAGATTTTGGAACATCTGGAAATCTCAAAGATTATTTATTGGGTAAGGAATGAAAAAAATGATATAGAAATTGGACAACAGTTTGTCAAATCCCTGTGAAGTTAAATATAGACTTATTATCTGATGTAGCAATCTCACTCCAGTTAAGTAAAAATATTGTGTGAAGAGAAAACTGACTGCAAAGGAATAAAAATTTCTGGCTGGTGGAACTGTTCTGTTTCATGATTTTGATGGTGATCACTTGACTATACACATTTATCAAAACATAACTATATACTTAAAATTAGTGAATTATATTTATAAAATGATGTAATAGATCTGAGTCCAAAAGTTTTTAAGGACAGAAATCAGATCAATGGTGGCTAGAAATCAAAGGTGGGGGAAAAACTGATCACAAAAATATACAAGGGAATTTTCTGAGTTGGTGGAAATGTTCTAAAACTTGATTGTGGCTTGTTTTTATTTGTTTGTTTGTTTGATATATTTATATATCTGATATATATATCTGATGTGATAGATGTGCCAACCACCTTGATCTGATCATTGTACCATGTATACATGTATTGAAATGTTACACCCTATCACACAAATATGTATAATTACTATGTCAATTAATAATTTTGAAAAATTTAAAGAATGAATAAATACTAGAATACAACATAGCAATGCATTGAGTTTCCTGCAAGAAATAGCTTGAGATGCCAAATTTTTACAAGCAGCCGTTTTCCTAAAAGGTAGCAGAAAGACGTTCTTGGAAGCACAAGGACTCAGAAAACACTCATTTAAGTACTTTATCCTGAATGAAATACCTGAGATCATAGGACTACATAAAGGAATATATGCAATATATTCAAAAAGAAGAATGAAAGAAACATTGATGATCTACACAATCACTGGTCTACTTGATCGTACAAACAGACATTTGTGAATTTTTTACACAATTTTTTGTCCCTCTTCCCCCTCACTGATTTTTTTCTGAAAGAAAAGACCTATACAGAAGACATAAAAGATGTGAAAAGAGAATTAAACCACTGACTATGAAGATGAACTGTGAAGCACTGAGAATTAAACAGACTGAACTTCATCTAACACAAAAACAAATAATTATCTTCTTGCCACTGACACTGATACATTTAATAAGATTTTAAGTTAATATTTTTAAAAATTAGTTGAGAATTGTTAATGTGGTATATATTAAAAACACTTTAGAACACATTCTTTTTACTTACTATTTTAATTTTTATTTGCCAAGAGAGCACCTAATAGTTTAAAATGTTAAGGGCAGGATGTCCATAAAGCTCAGAAATATTATTATTTTTTTTTACTGATGGAGATGCCCTGACAACATTTTGGGTGCTAGTATCTGAAGAATCTGGGACCACCTTCCAGTTCAACAACAGTGAAGACCGTGGTTACCACTGCATCATCCCTAGCCCAGTTCCTGCCAAAAGGGCACTGTCACCTGTTTCATCTACACATATTTGTCGGAATAATATGCTTGTTTTGTCATTTCTTGACTTAATTTTATAGATTATTTTCTGATTTTCTCATATGATTGAAAAAACTTATACCTCCTCCTGCCATACTTCATATCCCTTTATCGTACATTATGGATATAATATAATGATTATCCAGATCATTATGAGCATCATGTTTATATGTGAAGAATCATATGTACCATAATCATCATGAGTATCATGTTTATACGTGAAGAAGTCATATGTGAAGAATAGTTACATGTCTTTTCTAATACTTTGTGTTGCTAAAGTTAATGACTTTTTATTTTTGATCATTTTAGGTTTTCCTTGTTGCCACCCTAGGTTTTTGTTTTCTCTATCTGGATGAGTCTATTGTCCATCTGTTTCCTAGATTCTAAAATTTTGTGGCTGTCATATCTAATCCTGTTCTTTTGTCTGAATAGCTTAACTCAACAGTACTTTTTTACCATCTTTTGAGTGGTATTTCAGAAGTGAGGCTGGCCCTGTGGTGCAGCAGGTTAACGCCCTGGCCTGAAGCACCGGCATCCCATATGGGCACCAGTTCAAGACCCAGCTGCTCCACTTCTGATCTAGCTCTCTGCCATGGCCTGGGAAAGCAGTGGGAGATGGTCCAAGTCCTTGGACCCCTGCACCCATGTGGGAGACCTGGAAGAAGCTCCTGGCGTAGTTCTGGCCATTGTGGCCATCTGGGGAGTGAACCAGCGGATGGAGGACCTCTCTCTCTCTGCCTCTCCTTCTCTCTCTGTGTAACTCTGACTTTCAAATAAATAAATAAAGTCTTTAAAAAAAAGAAAGAAAGTAAGTAAACCATACCTAGTATCCCTCACTGTGCAGAAAGACAACTGCAGAAGGGTGCCCAGGCAGGGCCTTGTGCATCAGAGCAAAGCTTCTTTACCTGTGTTCCACACCAAGGTCTCCCTTAGTGAGGCCCTGTTACCCCTTGATCTTCTCAGATCCCATTTCTTTTGTAATTGGAGAAAACCTTTGCTTACTTAAAAAAAAAAAAAAAAAAAAGTTGATTGAAAGAATGTAGAAAGAAGGCAAGCCCACAGTCCCCATACTTACCTTCACTGCGCTGAAACAGAAGGCATGGAGCAAGATGGCTGATGAGACGCTCCGAGTCACACTGTAAACAGCTGATGTTATCCCAGAAACAGCTGGAACACAAACATCAATGGAAATTGTCTAGATTGGCCATTCTCAAAATCAGTAAATGTTTTAAGAAAGTGAAGGTTGTAGCTTTCAATAACAAGATGCCTGCCACAGGGGCAAAGGATAAGTCTATGGGATCCATCAACAAGCACCAGGTGACTATTACAGCAAGAAAGAGACTGACCATTTGTCAAAAAAATTCAAGAGAAAAGCATTTAGAAAGAATTCTTTATACTATGTGTGTCAGTGCAGAGGTAGTGAGACCTCAGGACTTAGAGTTGACAGCTGTTGGACAAGCAAAGGAGCACTTTCAATAGAAGACAGGGAAGGGAGGAAGAGGAAGGAGAAGGAACAACCAAGTATTCCTGATTGTGTGCACGTATGTATTTGTGTGTGTAATGGGGGAGTAACAGTAATTGCTTCTTGTACGTGATTTCATAGAATCTTGACAGCAGTTGTTTGAGGTCAATCTGTTTATTTCCATTTAAAGAAAAGAAGGCTGAAAAGTTAAGCACTGTTTCCAGGTAGGTGTTCAGTGAGATTTCTATCTACCTTGGTCTAAATCTAAAGCACACAATATTAGGGTTACAGGTCACCTTTCTTTACAGGTACACATACTCAGAAGGTCATACTCAGAGACTCACACCGATCCACTATTTGACTTAAACAAACAAACAAAAAATACACACACACTTATATCCAGTCACCCACACATTCACACACGCAGACCACCTTTCTAAGCTATAGTTTTGAAGGCCCCAAACTCATTCCAAAGTACAGAAAATTCTATTCTTTCTTTTTCCTTTGCCTGTGAATTTACTCAGCCAACCAAGACAGACCATTTACAGTTTGGCTGAATGAGACTGGATGGGTCCACTATCACACAGACTGACCCAACTGAAGCAGTTTAACTGATCAAGATAGAGAAAACCTGTCATCCTGTTATCCCCTGCCCAAGACTACTCAGCCCTTATCTAAACTTTAAACTCCTTTACAGGAGTAGAATGTAAACAACTTACCAGAGCCTCCAAAAAGCAGCATGTCAATTTGCTCCAAAAGGTAAATGCAGAAAGTGTTGATTTGCGGAAAGAGCCCAAGGAGGGAAATTGCAGGGAAGCAATATAAAAAGACTGAAAATGAATGAACAAAATGGACCATTAGCATGAAGTAGCTGTCACCAAGGTTCCTACTGCAATGCTGCCTCCTTGTCCTTGCAGACCACCCCACCCTAACCCACCCAGGAATACTAAAGTCAGTGCTAGATTCCTCTTACAAGATGAAACTGGAGACTGAGGTGGAAGTGTGCCTGTGGAAGCAACAAGCTGACTTTCAGGAAGATGTCCTCAGGAAAGAAATGCACATACGCCCAGGAATAAACAAAGACCTCAGGGATGGTCAATGAGGCAGTAGAAAGGTCTTTAGTCTTAAATAGTAGAGTTGGATTTGGGGGATATGAAGGTGGGAGAAAGAAGACTGGAAAAACTACAGAAACATGCAAAACATGTAGTTACGGTGGATCTTTTCCTGCATGATGGAGGGGAACAAAAATTGGAGCCAAAGGGGTTCTTTGTCTTGTGCTTCTGTAACCTCAAGCACTTGAGTGACTGAAAGTCTACTACATTCTAAACACCCATTGGAGAGTTGGAACCAAGTGAGGGTTCAAGACTCCTAAAGAGCACTAAGGCAGAGAGGCAATGAATTAAGTCACTGTAGCACACTGTGAAGATGAGGTGCTGATTCTAGGGAAGGTAAGGGAGTCACTTGGTAGGTAGACATGCTCTGGCTGGGGAAAGGAAATTTGTGCTACTTCCCATCATCCTAACAGTGAAATTGTGCAACAAGTTAACATTTTTAGGTTATAATTCAATGTTTTACAGAAATAATTTGTCTGGAGGAGCAGAACTGCATTTTGTAACAACTATCCTATCATCCTGTCTTGCTTAGTTCTATTCAGGCTGAGTTCTATAGAAACACAGGAACACCCATAATACAATGGTCGTCCTGATTCAGATTACTGTGTCACTGAAGTTTCATACTGGTATATCTTAATCAAACTAACAAAATCTGATTTAAAATCTAGTATGTCTAGACATTGGAGCTATGTCTTAAAGCTATTTAACCATAGTGAACAATGGAGTAGGGATGACAAGGCAAAGTGTTTTTGCTATGCCTGAAAAATAGGAAATGCTATTTCCCATAGTGAAATGGTAAGAATGAGGTAATTTGTATGTGTCTTTCTCTTTTCTGAGATCAAATGAGATCAGGTGCATTCAGGGTGGTATGGCTGTAGATTGACTTTTTCTTCAATTAGCATTTAAAAGAAAGAATGGGACAAGTCCCTTTACAACATGCACTAAGGAACTGTTCCAACATTTTGGAATGTAAAATGTTATGTGTGGAACATGGATACGGCCATAGAGACTTTGCTTGGGAATGAAGTTATGATTTGATTAACATGCAATTTTGTTGTAGTGCTTTATGTGGCAAGATTGTAACTGTATTAAAAAACATAAAGCACCTGAAGCAGACATTCCTCAATCAAAGTAGGCAACATGATGCAAATACTAATGTGCTAGACATAACTATAAAAGACACAATTTATTTTCCAGTATTTACTAAAGGAATTCAGAGGTATGAAAGGAAAGAGATAAGAAATAAGCATATATTTAATTATGGAGTATATAATTATAAACATAAAAAATTTAGTTCCTGTAATTCAGTCTTTCCCTTAACTTTGGAACTCAGAATTCAGCAATGAAGATTGTAAGCCATCCCAAGCCACCCAATTCTATGGCAGAGGCAGAGGTATGCTGCATTGAGATTTCATTAGTCTAACTTCCAAAGTGGGGTGTGCATGTTTGACAAACTTCAGTGAAAATGAAGAAAATACAAAGAAAATTCTTGGTGCAAAATGTCATTAAAGGCATCCAAACACTGTAAACTATTCAGCAAAGCATGAGTAAAGAGGTATTCTCTATAAGAAGTACATTAGCCAATGAAACCAAAACTAATGAAGTGAAAAGAACTGGGTTACAATGAATAATGACATGAGGAATATAAAATGACAAGTAACACCAGAGGTCAGCACTGAAGATGTTCCAGCAGTGGGTACAGCACTGTAACTTAATGAAACCAACCAGGAAGAATAGCCGTGAACAAGGAGATGCTAGCAGCTCTAGATCTTCTCCAGAGCATAGTAGAGGAGGAAAGCCCTGGTCTTTAAAAGTCCTAGAGGTGGAAACTGTCCTAGAAATGGATGCCATTATTTTTTTCTAAGAGGAAAAAATAAAAGGCCCCTGTGGTTCTTCACAATTTTCCCTTTGAGCAAACATTTTTTGTTAGCATACCACTGAGTAAGTCTGTTATTTTCTCTTTCCAGTTCCTTACTCTGGATTTCCCTAATATTGATCATATATGCAGAAACTTCTGGTTCAATTCCATTTTTAAAGTAAAACTCATAAACAAAAGTGTTGCAGTTTAAGGCTCTTTATTTTTTTTTTTTTTTTATTTTTTTGACAGGCAGAGTGGACAGTGAGAGAGAGACAGAGAGAAAGGTCTTCCTTTGCCGTTGGTTCACCCTCCAATGGCCGCCGCGGCCAGCGCGCTGCGGCCGGTGCACCGCACTGATCTGATGGCAGGAGCCAGGAACCAGGTGCTTTTCCTGGTCTCCCATGGGGTGCAGGGCCCAAGCACCTGGGCCATCCTCCACTGCACTCCCTGGCCACAGCAGAGAGCTGGCCTGGAAGAGGGGCAACCGGGACAGAATCCGGCGCCCCAACCGGGACTAGAAACCGGTGTGCCGGCGCCGCTAGGCGGAGGATTAGCCTAGTGAGCCGCGGCGCCGGCCTCTTTATTTTGTTAAATGTGAGTAATATGAATTGCTGTGGAGTCAATGTGAACATGTGTATTGGGTGTCTTCAACAGATCACATCTGTGCATGATGAACTAATTGCCCTCATCTGGATTAATGAGACCAGAAAACAAACCCCAATACAAGACATGGATATGTGAGGTCTGAGTGTTCAAGGAAGAACAGGAACCAGCCAGCAACTTGCTATAAAACCTCTACTTATCTCCAAGGGTTACATGATTGAAGGTTGCATATAGAAGGCATGGATATATAGTCCTATAGACTAAAATGAGACAGACAACTCTGGGATCTGAAAGGATCACAGAGGCCATTTGGGAAAGTAGCCGTCCAGGGTATGGACTCTGGCTACAAATGATGGCACTCATCTCGCCTGAACCTTTCGAAGTCATGGATCTCCTTGCTTCCCTAGGCAACCCATTCTATCTACCTAATGCAAATGATGGTATACATTTTCCCAAACTGAGCTATAATCCACTCAAGTGTTTATTCTCCAGGTCGGGCATCCTCCATGCCATGACCAGTCTCCAGGCCTAGTGTTGCTGCTGTGGCTACCTATACTTCCCAGGGTATACATTAGCTTGATTACTGTTCTGTTTGACATATGGTGCTAAGAATATTGGCTTTCTCATTCATGGGATAATTTCAAATCCAGTCTCATTCATAAGTTTTTGCTGAAGTTACTCAAATGAAAGTAATAAAAATTCTAGCCTAGAGGCCAGCAATTTCTGACCGAGCACAGGAAATGAATGTTGACTAAGAAGGACTTTCACCTTATTCCTCAAAATAAAAATAATTTCTCCTTATAATGAAAAGAACATGCAGCGTGATATTCTGAATAAATATAAGAAATCATAAAAGAAAAAGAACTTATATAAGGATATTATCCTCAGTGTTACTATATTAACCTGTATCTCTTATCTCCTTAATTCAGTGTAATTTCTCCTCCTTCTGTTGTTCCACTAGCTGACATTGTTTTCCTGCCTTTGAGATGTTCCTCTCCTTGTATCATAGGGAGAGGTCTTTAAAAAGGTTGGTGAAAATGCATATTATATTATGTATGGACTTAAAAAATGGTTTTGGCTCGGCTGGCGCCATGGCTCAATGGACTAATCCTCCGCCTTGCGGCGCTGGCACACAGGGTTCTAGTCCCGGTCGGGGCGCCGGATTCTGTCCCGGTTGCCCCTCTTCCAGGCCAGCTCTCTGCTATGACCCGGGAGTGCAGTGGAGGATGGCCCAAGTCCTTGGGCCCTGTACCCGCATGGGAGACCAGGAGAAGCACCTAGCTCCAGGCTTCGGATAAGAGCAGTGCACCAGTCACAGCACGCCAGCCACAGCGGCCATTAGGGGTGAACCAACGGAAAAGGAAGACCTTTCTCTCTGTCTCTCTCTCTCACTGTCAACTCTGCCTGTCAAAAAGCAAACAAAATAGTTTTGGACCAAAAATTATTCTTTTAATTCTATTTTTCCATGAACTTTTTGAAGCACTCTGTTTATAGGAGTTGCTCCATCTTTCCACCTACACAATGTTCACTCAATCCATCTCCTAGCACTGCCTTGGACATTCAACCCCCCTGCATAAGAAGGCAGAAAGAGGCAGGCTCTACTCCCCACAAGCAGCAGATTCCACACTGTTCTCACTCCTTTCCCATTCTAGTTCCTCAGCCGCTGTCTCCTCCTCTGGAAATTGACAGTGCTGAGATGAACCCAGGAACAGCATCATGAGTAACAGAAATATCAGCAACAGGGCACCACTGGAAGGAAAACTTCATGTTCTCTGGCACTGTCAGAGGAGGACCAAGTCTACCCAACACAATGGGAGGAAACACAGTTTACCTTTGGCCACAAGATGGTAAACAATATCACATGTACTTAGTTCTTGCTTCTCGTCCTTTTTCTGAAATGCTCCTTGTTATAGGTTGAATTGTATGCAACCCCTCCCAAAAATGTTGAAGTCCCAATCCCTGGAAACTGTAAGCATAATCTGATTTGGAAACAAGGTCTAATAGGACTGGTCTAATAAAAACAAGGAGGAAATTTGGATTCAGAGACAGACATACATGGAGTGAAGATGTGTAAAGACACAAGACAAAGATGCACCTAGAAGCCAAGGAGATGTGCCCTTCCACAGGGCCTTCAGAGACAGCATAGTTCTGCGAACCTTAATCTTCAACTTTCAGCCTCTAGAGTTATGAGACAATAAATTTCTGTTGACTAAAACACCCAGTTAGTGGTACTTTGTTAGAGAGGCCTGAGGAAACTAATATACGCCCTTTTCCTCCTAATAACTTTCATTTCCTCTGCATTTTCTTCTTCTTGCTATTCCTGCAGAGCAACAATGGCCATAGCTATATATTACTTAGATCCCTTGATGACTGAAGGGACAGAGGGTGAGGAAGCTCCACTAAGGAGAAATGACTTTGAATTGCCCTCCTTTTTCCTCATAAAGTTGGCAAATAATAGAAGCATCCATTTCCTTCCTCTCCCATTTGTTCTACATTTGTTTCACTATCTCTTCCTATTCTGTGCAAATTATTATGTTAAACACATTCATTCCATAGGGCCTGCTATTGTTCTATTTTTCTATTTATATTTACCCCAGAAGTCATTAGGTGGGCTTGCTGGATTATTTATGGCCATTTTTACTTGTCATTGTGGACAAGCAGACAAAAACACAGATTAAGGAGAAGCTTTAATGAAGGAAAGAGAATTCCAATGAAAAAGATCCAATAGGACACTGCCCTTCCTCTCTCCACAATGTGCATAGCCAGTAGCTCATTCTAAAGCAAGGGTTACTGCTTAATGCAAAATCTTGGACTCTTACTAAGTACATTAAAGTTGTACTTTCTGAACCTCAAAATCATGTCACATTCTAATGTGTTTTTTTTTGTTTTTTTGTTTGTTTGTTTGTTTGTTTTGACAGGCAGAGTGGACAGTGAGAGAGAGAGAGACAGAGAGAAAGGTCTTCCTTTGCCGTTGGTTCACCCTCCAATGGCCGCCGCGGCCGGTGTGCTGCGGCCAGTGCACCGCGCTGATCTGAAGGCAGGAGCCAGGTACTTATCCTGGTCTCCCATGGGGTGTAGGGCCCAAGCACTTGGGCCATCCTTCACTGCACTCCCTGGCCACAGCAGAGAGCTGGCCTGGAAGAGGGGCAACCAGGACAGAATCCGGCGCCCCAACCGGGACTAGAACCCAGTGTGCTGGCGCCGCAAGGCGGAGGATTAGCCTAGTGAGCCGCGGCACCGGCCCTAATGTCATTTTAAGTTTGCCCTATCAAGAGAACTAGAACCACTCAACAGCGCTGGCTTTTTGGGAGTAGCAAATTAAGGAAAAATAGGTATGAAGGAAATGCCCATACACAGAAAAGCAATTTGTAAATGGAATATGTCATGCATTTCTTCCCCCAAATCTCTTTCTACAGATCATCTGCAAAAGTTGCTTATTAAGCCCCTACTTATTCTTAAAGCTGAGTTGAACAAGCCCAAATTGACTTTAGCTTTCCCTGATTTTTAAATAAAAAATGTTCCAAAAGTTTATTTGTCCATTAATTTCTTTAGTATTTAAAGCATACTTTTATGTTCATTAGTTCATACACTTGAATACACATTTATTCAGCGCCTGTATATACCAGATACTAGCCTGGGGCTGAGGAAACAGTTGTGAGAGAGCAGACAGAGTCTCCACCTTGCCAGGACTGAACAGATGAGTTAGTAATGGAGAGAGACCTTAATCAAACATAAATGTAAGCAGACTTCTACAAAACATATTAAGTGCTATGAAAAGTTTTAGAGGATAGAACATGGGACCAAACTTTGGAAAATGGGTCATAATTCACCAGCAAAGTTAAGCACATGGCAGAGCTCCAGATCAGGCCACGTGTGACCTGTCACACGTGGAAGTCTGGCAACACTAACTCAAACTTGAAATGTGGGAAAAGATGGCTGTGAAGTACACCAGAAGGAATATGGGGTGCAGAGGAGAAGAAAATATTTTGATATAAGGGGCTGGCGCTGTGGCATAGTGGGCTAAGCCCCCACTTGTGGTGCCAGCTTGTCATATGGGTACAGCTCCTCTTTCAACCCAGCTCTCTGCTAAGACCTGGGAAAGCAAGAGGATGGCCCAACTGCTTGGGCCCCTTCACTCATGTAGGAGACTGGAAGAAGCTCCTGGCTTCTGGCTCCGGATAGGCCCAGCTCCACCCATTGCAGCCATTTAGGGAGTGAATCAGCAGATAGAAGACCTTTCTCTCTGTCTCTCCCTATTTCTGTCTGTAACTCTACCTCTCAAATAAATAAATCTTAAAAAATATTTTGACATAAACAACTGTTTCCTGGACATCTTCCAAAACCCTTTTATGTCCTCCCTGCCTCAATTTCCCAGATCCTTGTGTTTCCTTCGGCTACAGACTCCAGCACTACTGTCTGTTAAAAGAAGATGACAGGAAAAGCATTGTCCAAGAGTGCAATAACAGAGAGCCTGTCTGCTCAGACTCTGCCTTCAATGTGGCTGATCTAAGGAGGCAGATGGGAAGCTAAGTAATAATGAAAAGGTAAAAACGACTGAAAGCCTTTCTTGGTGTATGTGTGTGTGTGTTCCAACTGACAGAATTTCAAATAATATAAAAAGTAAAGTGAAAAATGTCGGGAAGGGTAGAATATATTCTTGGGCAGGAGGGCACTGGTGAGAAGTCTCTTCAGGGGATCCACTCCTGTTTTATTTGTCCAACATGTTTCTATTTCCTAATTGAATGCAGAGGTCTCTGAAAAATGGTGCTGAGCCCTTTGGCATTAAGAAGCTATGCAGCTCCCCACAGGATGTAATAAGAAAAGTGTTCAGGATGCATATGAAGGTTGGCCTGTGGGGGAAGTTGGTGTGGGAAGAAGTGAATAGTTTGCTACCAATACAGCAGGAAAAGGAATAGGGAGAAGGGGATTGGGAAGGAAGTCAGAGGGTAGAGTGCCGACCAGAGTTTTCATCTACAAGGAACACAGAGAAAACTTACACCTTATCTGGATGTTTTCCCCAGTTCCACTGGAGAGATTCAGGAGGTGTCATGGGGGCTGGGAAAAGGATCATGTCAGACATAAGGCTTTGGCAGTCTCCTCTTGGGTAAGGTGTCTGGCTAGAAAGAAGGACATCTAGAGATGGTGCCTTTGATAGCTGCCCTTTATCAGCTCAATTGGTCAATGCTTATGTAGCCACCCACAGTCGGCAGGTATGTAAACCCCATAAATTCATTGTAGGACAAATGCCCTAAACAGCACTCTGGCCTCAGAATCAGCCCTTAAGGCATTCGGATATGGCTAAAAAACCAAGGGCCTTCAAAGCATGGAAAGCCAAGACACTGTGGCAAAAAATGACCTACTTGAAAGATCTCTGTGAGTGAGATCCCAGTGGAAAGAAGAGGACATCAAAGAAGGAGGTACCTTTCTCTGAAGGGAGGAGAGAACTTCCACTTTGATTATGGCCCTATCTAAATAATGCCAGAGTTTGTGGACTCAAGGGACTTCCACAGCCTTGGCAGCTCATGACAAGAGTCTTGGGTAATCACTGACATCATAAATAAGAGTGTCAATTGTTAAATCAATAACAGGAGTCACTGTGTACTTGCTCTCCATGTAGGACCTCTGCCCTTAATGAGCTGTACTATGAGAATTAATGGTAAAACTAATCTTCAAACAGTACTCTGTGTGTCTGTGTGGGTGCAAACTGTTGAAATCTCTACTTAGCACAGAGTTGATCTTTTGTATATAAAGATAATTAAAAATGAATCTTAATGAAGAATGGGATGGGAGAGGGAGTAGGAAGTGGGATGGTTTAGGGGTGGAAGGGCGGATATGGGGGAAGAACCATTATAATCCAAAAGTTATATCTATGAAATTTATATTTATTAAATAAAAGCTTTCTATTGAAAAAAAGAATTCTCAGGGCATCCTCAAACATCACGAGCCACAAGTCAATATAGTGGCATCAGACTTTTTGCATAATAATGACAACCATAACTCATGTCATCTTTCTGTATGTTGAAATAAAACCAGTCTTTCAAAATACACAATAACTTCTAAGGTAGGAAAGATTTTTATACACATATTACTGTTGAATTTTTTTCAAGGTTACACATTTAGTCAAATGGCAGAGCTGGATTCAAACAGCCAGCAGTCTGGGTCCAGAGTCAGGGCACTAAACCACTACCATAGGCAGGTGGCTTATGTAAATGAACAATTTTACATCAAAAACTGCCTAGACCTAACAGCAACCAAAGTGTACCAGTGGAAGCCTGGGTGACCACAATATCCAGGACTGCGCTTAGACTGACAAGTGTACCCACCTATGCATTATCAGAGCCCCTATATCATGTGGATAGAGCTATGGTGGCCACTCTGATGGCATGACCATTCTCAGCAGGCACGATTCTTCAAATACTACAGTGCTGCAACTTCTTGGTCAGGGCTATCAAAATCCTTTCAGATAATTCTATTGTTGGAAGCTTTGGGCTCCCAGTCTTCCCATGGATGTGCAAGCCAAGAAGGAAAAGTATATCTCCTTTTTCAACAATCACAAAGGAGGTTTCCAGGTATCGATCCAGAACAAAAAGGATAGATTTATCCTTTCTCACCTATATTTTCCCCACAAACCCAAAATTAACTTACCTATTAAGTAGTCCCTGGCTGACTGCAGGGACGCTGGAGAGAAGAGCTTCAGGCCATACACAACATAGCTGGGAGGGTGCCTGGCTTTGGCCCCTGTATCAAGAAGCAAAATAAGGCCACACAGCACACAAAAATAGATTGGTCTGCTATAGGTTATGATTTGGTTGTGTCCCTAGAAAACAAACACAATATCTGAATGGTACTTTTTACTTTGGTTAAATGGCAAAAGCCTCAGAGTCAATCATTTATGCCACATTATCCAGCTTATATAGCATAACACATTCCCTTCCTTCCCCTATCTTAATTCATACTTCCAAAATACTGGGAAAATAAAAAGGTCTGATATTTATTCTTGAAATCAGAATGAGAATATCAAAAAGAATGTTATGCCTCTCAATCACAACAAGATTTACCTAAAAATGTAATTACCATCCTGGGAGAAAATCTGTATCTAATTTAATGCTTTTCTAAAAGTGAAACTTCCATTCATCTTGTTCCTTTCAAGTGTGAAACTAATTTAAACCATTATTTGCTCTACACGGTCTAACTGGGGCTACAGTATTAATAAGAAATAAAGTTATAATTTTGTGGGTTTCAATTTCTTAATGTCTTAGAAAGCAAGACAATACAGGTGCAAAGGTATACTCAAAGAGACTGCATAAAATGTTTAGTGTAGCACAACGGAATAATCCACTTTTTCAACTTGCTATTTATATTATTTATACAGCACTTTCCTCTGAGGAAAACCAAATACTTTGCAGCCTTCATTTTAGCTCTCAAAATATTATTATGAGAAGTAGAAACAGTTTTTATTCTTTTCCTTGAATGACAGGGAAAATATATAACTTCAACTTTGCAGGCCAAAAGCCAACAAATAATTTACATCTCACAATTCAATGCAAAATATTCAGAAAATTCATAAGATTCAGCACAATTTATACGATTCAGAAAAACAACCAAAATGAATTAGGGGGAGAGTATTCTTTGCAATTCATGAACTACCTTGAGTGTAAAATATAAAGTGTATGATTTCAGATGTGAATTTTTAAATTAATTCCTGTAACACGCTATATTTAGAAATGTAATTTAAATTGCCACTTCTTTTATAACAGCAATAATTCTATTCTGGAATCATCTTTTCAAGAGGAAGAAAAATACAGACTATCTATGGAAGGACAGTGCCACATCCAGACTCAGTTTGGAAAAATATTTGCCCTCTGGGGCTGGCATTGCATTTTTTTGCAGATGGTTAAGCTGCTGCCTGTGATGCCAGCATTCCATATGAGGGCCTGTTCAAGACCCAGCTACTCTTCTTCTGATCCAGTCCCCTGCTGATATACCTGGGAAAGCAGTGGAAGATGGCCCAAGTACTTGGGCCCCTGCCACCCACATGGGAGATCTAGATGAAGTTCCAAGCTCCTGGCTTTGGCCTGACCCAGCCCAGGGTCATTGCAGCCATTTAGAGGGTCAGCCAATAGAGGAAGATCTCTCCCTCTGTCTCTTCCTCTTTCTCTTTGTAACTCTGCCTTTCAAATAAACAAATCATTTTTAAATAAAAAAGAAGAAAGAAAGAAAAATATTTACAACTACTGTTATATGGAATTCCTTCAGAATCCAACTAGGCTATAGGTTAATGGATATGGGAATATTTCTTTGAGCTAAAAAAAAAAAAAAAAAATTGAGGCCGGCGCTGCGGCTCAATAGGCTAATCCTCCACCTTGTGGTGCCGGCACACTGGGTTCTAGTCCCGGTCGGGGCGCCAGATTCTGTCCCGGTTGCCCCTCTCCCAGGCCAGCTCTCTGCTGTGGGCTGGGAGTGCAGTGGAGGATGGCCCAAGTCCTTGGGCCCTGCACCCCATGGGAGGCCAGGAGAAGCACCTGGCTCCTGCCTTCGGATCAGCGTGGTGCACTGGCTGCAGCACATCAGCTGCGGCGGCCATTGGAGGGTGAACCAACAGCAAAGGAAGACCTTTCTCTCTGTCTCTCTCTCTCACTGTCCACTCTGCCTGTTAAAAAAAAAAAAATTTGAAACTCAAGTCCAAGATAAATTTAAATGTACTATTCAAGTGAATATCAAAGGTATACAGTACATATGCATATGGGGCAGTTCCTCAAACTGACATGGTTTAGTAAATACAATTAAATAGCTATCTTCCACTTGTCCTTGTTCTTCCTCCTATTAAAAGTTCAAAATTTATTATCTAGGAATTCAACGTGTTTGGCTTTGAGCAAGTTTGGGACATCATTTCAGATTTTCCAAGTCATACAATTTTAGGAATTGGAATACTTTCTTTGTACTTCTAATTTATGAAACAAAACTTAAGGCAACCTTACAAAAGCGCTGCCATCATCCTCACATTCATCCTTACCTATTCTTCCAATCCTGTTTTGGGTCTGCAAAACATTCCAAACACATTGCTAACATGCTTCATAATTCACTTTTATTTGCCTTGACTCCTAAGAACATCTACTAATATAATGCCCCTGCTCTTCAGTTTCTACTTGCACATGAGAATCAATCATCAAAACCCCCAGGGATGATTTTCAAATTTTCCAATAGAAAAATTCCACTCACTCCACTAGGTGAAGTAGAATCATGATCTCTTAAAATGCACTTGACTAAGTCATTCTCCATCTGTTTTTTAACTTTAAAACACACTGTGGCTTGCAGAATGCAGGCAGCAGAAGAATAAGATGAGAAAACCTAGCAAAAACTCTAAGTAGCCCACCTGCTGAGAGCAGCAGTGCATGTAGCTAAGGAATGAGGCCATTCTAATTATTCTCCTAGGGAGATAGTGGGATGGTCAATGCTCTACACATTTTATCGTTGTTGAGGGAAAAAAAAAGTTTGTATTATAAGGAAGATGGGTATCAGAGAATCTCAGAGTGCCCAGGGATTAGAGTGCAGCTGGGCCTCAAAGGGGACTGACCCAAGGGCTGTGCATTGGCAGGCCAGGTTGCCTCCCCTCCATCTCTGCTTTACCACATGTGCCAGCTCCAGGTACCATCCCACATAGTAGAAGTAAGCCACCTCACACTCAGCAGGTCTGCACATGTTGCCATCTCAGCCACATTCACAGGTCCAGCTCCTTTTGAGGAATTATGTAAAACAACAACACAGCTCACATGGATCTGGCCATTCCAGTGACCCAAGCACTTGCTGCTTATTTACATGAAGTGTATCCTCAGAACACCTTGAGATGCACAAAGTATGATTCGCATTTTTGATAAGAGTAAGTGGAGGCCTGAGGATGATGAAATTGCCTGAGGCCTCACACAGAAAACAGTGATACAGCAAGGATTTGGGCTCCAGCTTCCTGGCCACCTGACCCTGCCGCTACCTTGCTCGATGTCTCCTCACAACAGCTGGAGCAGTGCATGCATTTGGCACTGGATTCTTCCAGACCCATCTAATTTAACTAATGTTCATGCATAACATTATTCTGCTAGCACAGAATGTAAATGCTTCTCATGTGAAGCAACTATACAGAGTAAGGAAAATTTTCATATCAGGTTCCAGGTGTCAGCTCTTCCTACAAGGACTATGGGTGGAGAAAAGGGTTCCTTACTCACAGGTATAGGGAAACCAAGCATGCTCTACCCAACCCACCACCCCTGGCCTCTATTTTTGGACTGTGATGTTATGTTCACCTACATTGAACTCTCATCACTGCCATAAGAAGGGCTTGCTGTTTTTATAGCTTCTTATGATGATGCAGGCTTACTTAAATATCACTTCTTGGTGGCTGTTGATTTCTCTTTAGTCTTAGCAGTTCACCTTTAGAGTCATCCTGAGAGTTTCCAAGAATGTACTTTGCTTCCTCTTATATGCAAAACAAAAGGAGGAAAGCTACAGCGGGTACCCTCTACTCTACAAAATGCTGAACCCCGCTGTGACCCTAGACAGCAGGTATTCTATTGACTTATTCTTTGTGCATATCAGAGAATCCACATTATTTTAGTGTGGGTTGGGCAGATGCAGCTGCCCAGCCAAGAGGTGATGAAACGGACAGATTCCTCAGCTGTGGTCCAGAGTGCTGCCATTCGGCTTCCTCCCAGTTCACACATTTTCCCACATCATCAGCATTTCCCTCTAAGGCAGTGAAACACCATCAAAAAGAGTGGTGACCTAAATTTGCTCCATTTAATTGTAGAAATTTAGAATGTGTGAATTACAAGAAGACAATTTGAATGGATACTGCTTTAAATTGTACTCTTTTGAACAAAGTGAATACACAATTAATATAATTTGACTTTTAATCAAGACCCACTAAAACTAAGTTGACCTCATTTCTAGAGGCTTAAAAAATTACTTCTTATATTTTGTTACTCCATGTAATGATTCAAAGTCATTCCTCTGATAAACACTACCTTATCCTGGTGATCAAGGTCAGTGTCAACAGTGATAAGTCATACTGATAGCACTGATAGTATGTAATGTGATCTACCACACATTTTATCTCTGTGGTTTTCCTCCTGAAAATCCATTACCCTTATCTAATTATCAGATAAACACCAAACAAATCCCAACTGAGGGACAGTCTACAAAGTGCCTGACCAGTTCTCTTCAAAACTGTCAAGGTCATTAGAAACTATTATTATACCGCAAGTATAATATTGTGAAATATGGATTTGGTCTTTATCCCTGCTTCCTGGCATAGAACTATTAAAATCTTTGGAATCTCCCAAGTGATAGTGTCTTTTTGTATGTAATGAGTTGAGTGACAGCTGGCAGCCCCCAGGTAGTTGGTTAGGATGGGAACTGGTGACCAGAAGGACCAAGGCTGGATTAGCGGGTTGGGACATTCAGTCCTACTCCCCTAACTTCTGTGGAGGGGAAGAGATTGGCCAGTGATTTAACCAATTATGATTATGTGATGAGCCTACCATAAAAACCTAAAAGGTCTGGATTCAGGGAGCTTTCAAACACTTAAACATATGGAGGGTTCTGCAGGGTGGGGTGCTCAGAGACAGCATGGAAGTTATGCACCTCTTCTATATACCTTTTGCCTTATACATCTCATCATAGGTATCTTTTATAATAAGAAGGTAAACATGTTTCCCTGAATTGTTTGAGCCACACAAACAAATTAATCAAACCCAAGGAGAGGGTTCTGGAAACTTCAACTTTCAGCAGGCTATACAGAAGCACAGATAAAATAACTTGGGGGCT